ACTGTTCCTTCATTCTTTGTTTCTGTCCAGTTGTCCTCTTGATCTCTCTGCCATACCCCTACTCTTTTAGGGTATATTTTATTGAGGGCTTGTGTTGTATATGCAGGCATCCGTGAGTGTAACAAAATGGTCCTTGTCCTCATAGAGTTCATCACCTACTAGAAGAGCCAAATTAATGAAATAATCAAAGCCCACCTTGGTCTTTTCTATCTCTACACCCTCTTGCTCACATCACTTTCCTCTTTTGCCCTCTTTAGCTTTTATATCTGACTCATCTTCCAAGGTCCAGTCAGAATCTCTTTATCCATAGCACATATGTACTGTGACCAACCTTGTCAACTGACATTTTACTGAATACCTTAGATCAATGAGTTTCCTCAGTCAGGGGCACCACCAGCCAGCTCACAGCCCAAGACAGACATCAGTTCCTTCCTAACTGATCACAGAATCAGGAAGAAACCTCCAGGCCTCACCCAAAGCAGTCAGGTAGTCACTACCAATCAAGTAAAGCTGACTCTGAAGGAGTCATTTCGTCCCTTGCTATATAGTAGGTGATGATCAATGAGCTCTGCCTTCCTATGTCATTACATCCTCATTTCTGAATGTTGTCTCTAATACTATCTATATGGGCTAAGTAGCAGGAACTAAGAGTTATGTTTCTTTAGAAATTCTAATTCTGTAAACATGTGCTGAGCAGAGACCAAAGGAGGGTCCTGCTATGAGGGCTGCAGGAGATACAAAGATTATAATACATAGTCCCTGAGCCAAGAACTTCCAGTCATTTTTTTTGAGAAATGAAAGCTCAAAAATACCTACAGTACAGGACAGAATAAAATGAATGTCATAAAGTAAGCCTAGAGGTTTAGAAAAGCCAAACCTATGACCTATGACAGGGTTAGATCATAAAACTCTCCTCTGCCATCTGGCTCCTCCCACACCCATTCCTCACTGAGTCTTTGGGAAAAGGGCTCCAAGTTACTCTTACATAACACCTGGTGACTCATTCTGATCACCCCAATCTGGCCATGCGATCTTATTGTTTGTTCATTCTAGAATGCGAAGCATCTTTCCAATATCTCATATCACAGTTCTACCTTGATAAGTTGCAGGAGGAAGCAGATCATAGGGCCTTAGCAATGACCCTGGACAGGACAGCATGATGGGAAATCAACACATATCTCACTCATAGCTGGTTGAAATTTCTCTGGGGTGCTGGAAGGGCCAAGTTTTTCTCACCTGAGATTCTTCTAAATTTCCTCTTGCTTCCAGAATAGCAGCTCTGGGATCCTCCTCTGGCCTCCTGCCCTCTGCAGTTGGTTCTAATTTCTACTATTTCCTCTCAAGGAAAGAAAATAAGTCTTTTGGTCTTTTCACTCACTCTCTCATCACACTTCACCTTTGTTCCTGCCCAGGTTCTCCTGCTGCCCACTCAAGACCTTTTCTTTCACCTCATTTCTCTTCCCTCTCATTACTGATTCATCTCTTGGCTCTTCTTTGCCTCCTACTGCTATGTGACAAATCCCTTTTAAAATAACACTGGTGACTCACCAGTGAATACTGTATTCCATTTATATGTACCCCCCTTAAGGGGCATAAAGAGTTTCACAGATATTTGGTCTTATTTTTACCTTGTTCTTATAAAAGGATTGTTTGTCAAAGGGAAATAAAAATGTACTTAGGGCTTTGTCCGCATCACTTGTGTATTGGGGCCGATGTCCAGTTTCTCTCCCTTCCAGACCTCGTCCTTCTGCCCATGTCCCTCTCCTGGTGATTTCTTATTTTCATCAGTACCTACAGCTGACATTAGTCCAAAATCTTGCCAACCTGTTCCCAAACTCAAACCAAAAGCCTCACAGGAGCCTCAATTCCTCCAAACAGTGCATTCTCACTTTTGCTGGTGAGCAGGATGCTCCAGCACTGCCTTGAAGCCCTGATCTTAGCTCCCGCTGCCTCTGCCTGACTCACATCATCTCCTCAAGCTGGCCCACCCCTTCTGACCTGGACCCATGTGGTAGTCATCTAACTTGTCCCCACCATCTTTAACCCTCCTCTAAATCTGTCTTTTAATTCTTAAAGAGAATGAAAATTTTTTTTTTGAAAATAGAAACCATACAGAACTTCACTAAACGAAATGATAGGACTTCTACAGTGGTTGTCAGATTATCATATATATGCCTGAAAACTGGTTATAAATCTGATCATGGTATTCCTTGAGTCTCTTTGTTTAAAATACTAACCATTGTCATCATACCCTGGGCCTTCTGAAACTAACCTCAAACTACTTCTCTTTAAAATCTCTAAACTATCTAACCTTTCTGGAAATAAGCCATTTTCTTAGACATGCCTCAGTGCAAACTATGCTTGCACTCCTGCCGCTTTCTCTGGTATGAGTACCCTCCTGATCTTTTCTCTCTGGCAAGGCCTTCCTCAGATTTAAAGGCACAATTCTTGTATCAGCTCCTCCTGGCCTCCCCGAGAGCAGACTCAAATGTCCTCTCTTCTGTAATCCTATAAACATTCATGAAACTGCTAGAGAAAAGCTACCTATAGGATAGGATATGTTTATAAATGTGTTGTTACAATATATGTCCTAGTCTCTGCTAGGTACCAAATACATAGTTACCAAATTCACAGCCCCTGCCTCAAGTAGAGCCTTACCTTAAGCAAGACAGAAAACAAAGATGCAGGGAATAGTACTGACATGAGCAGTAACAAGGAAGCATAGAGGCACATGGGAGTCACCTCATTCAAAGGGAGGACAACAGGAAGTTCTCCCAGAGGAGCCGGGCCCTGAGCCCCTGGGCCCTTTGGAACATCCGCTTGGAAGTGGCTCTGATACTATCAGGCTTCATGATGCAGACTGGATCTTGTGCCCTTGAACTCTGCAGGTGCTCAGCAAATATTCAGGGCACTGAAGAAACAGAAAAGGCTTGGTTAGTGGAGGCTGGGAATTGCTCTAATACACCTGCATTGTTCTTCAGTCCAGCTTTCCACTTCTTCTGGAAGGGTGTCTCCAATTTTGTTCCCACAGATGTGATCTCAGCTTAATCAATAGATCATGTAAATCACAAGAAAAATGCCATAGATGATATTTTCTCTCACCCAAGTCTTAGCTCCATGCATCCAAGTAAAGTAGTGAACTGAGTTGTTGGCTAATGCATTTGACATGCACAGCCAGGCCACACTGCCAGTTGGGAAGTCCTACGCTACCACTGTGCTCCTTGACAAAGCAGGAAAAAGGGACCAGGAGTTGCTCTGTGCCAGTCAAGTTTAAAGGTCACCCGACCCGGTGCCCCTCCTCCATGGCTCTTGTCTTGTGCTCTAGACTCCATTTCTGCTTAGCAGCTGATGCTATCTCCCATGTCCTTTGAAACCAGTGTTCACTCCTTGGTCCAGCAGACAAGGCCCTTAGGTCACAGCCTCTGTATCTCCAGCCTCACCCTCACCACACTGCCTCTGCTGTCAGCCTGGCCTGGCCATGGCCATAGAACACTATGCACATGTCCCTGTGCATCGCGGTATCTCTCACCTGCAGACCTCCGCCTGTGCTGCTCACTGCCTTTACCTGGGATGCACTGGGACTGGGTGACACTGACTCACCATTCAGGTTGTTTTCAAGGCAAGGCTGTGATGACCCTCACTACACGTGAAACCAGCACAGATTTGCTGTGCACGTCCAACATCCTGCAGCCCCGAGCATTTCCCATATTCTACTCTCTTGAAGCCTCTGGTTATTGCTTGTTTCTGAGGAGCTGAAGGCCTGGGGTCTGCTCACCTCTGCTTTTCCCAGCACAATACCTAGGTAATGCGGGCACACAGCGAGCACTTGTCCTGTGTGAGTGAGGCGATGACAAGGAAGGCGTGAGGCCCTGGGGAAAGGGAAGAGGAATCTCTTCTTTTCACCAGAAGGAAGAAGAGATTTTTTAAAATTTATTTCTTACTATGTCTCCAGCTTCTGTCACATACTAGGCCCACAAGGGCACATAGGCCAAATGAATGGATGAAGCAGAATACTATGCCAACCTGAGTAGTCTCTTTATAATCTTTCTGTATGTTTTGGACCTAAGAGACATCTGAGGGAAGAAGAGGCAAGAGGTGCCTGACAACAGCTTGAGTTTGGGACTGTGCTTCTGTGGCCTCAGAGCTGAACAATGCCATTGCTAACCAAGGTGTTGGGTGATCAGATGAAATTCAATTATGAACACACTGTCAATTGTGCTCATGTCAATAAATGTTCTACGTGGCTGCATTTGGGGCCTTAAAAGCTTATTGGCAGTAAAGCACACACGCATAAAAATTAACATAGCAACAATAACAGAAACGACCATAACTTGGCAAAAAAATTATCACCTAATTAAAAAGTCATTGATTTTTAGTTGAATAAATTTTATTCATACTAAAATCCTAGCTTTTGCTAACTGGAGAAGTGGAAGAAATGGCAAGCTTTGCATTCTTACTCCTTTAACAGGAGTCCAAAGGAAACTGAGAAAAGACTTATTTCTAAGCAATCAAATTGTAATGAAGCCACTTTTTGCACAACGAACCCTCTGAATGATTTATTTTCTTCTTTAATCTGTAAATACCTCTCTGACATGAAGACAAGTTGACTTAGATCTTGGATTGCTATTATTGTCACAGTTGACTGTAGCTTAAAGAATCAGCACAACCTGGAGCCTAAGGAGTAATGAACATAACTTTGATCTTTGATCAACACTAATCAGAACCTCTTCCACCATGGATACCATCGAAGAAACAAACACCTAGGTCAGGAATAGAGCACCAAGGATACGTTTTGATTCCCTATATATAATGAACAGTCTTCAGAATCATTCTTAATAATAAATATTTATTAGTTATAACAACTAAATTAATTTGAAAGACATTACAAATATATAAGAAAATAAATTTATTCATGTAGCAGTCACAAAAAAATGAATATAACCTAGTTAGTCCATAAATTTGTGGAGGTACATGAGCTGGCCATCTATGGAGGGGACAGGGCACTGGAAGGCCTCTATCAGGACAGGGACACCGCTGTCTGGGTGGACTGCTGAGTTCTGGTAGGGCTGAGCTCAATTCTGTCTCTTCTGGTGTTGGACTTTCTGTCTATGCTTTTGACCGCTGCTTTCACCCACTTGTCTTCTGGGTCAGCACAGACTTTAAGGCCACGTCTGGTAATAAAACTACAATGCAAAGAAAAGATAGATGATGTTAGCCGCATTCTCTAAGCCCCAGGGTAAGGAGGAAGATTCAACCAGACACAAGACTTGTGCAGAATTATCAAAAAGTCACTTGTTAAGAACTCACAGTCCATAATGAACACCCTTCTCTTGTCTTTTATTAACTACTTTCAGGTAGTTCCTGGCTATTTTGTCCTCCATAATTCAAAGATCTTTTTTCCAGTAGTGCTACTAAATACTGTAGTGCAACTGGGCAGTAAAAATCTTCTAGTTCAACTGTTACATATCCTAGTCCTTTTCAACCTTAGACATATTTATTTTTTGGACTGAAGGTGATTTCTTTAATTTCTTAGAGTAAAGCCTATAAATCTGTATTAGGGGAACTGCTTCTCCTAAAAATCAGATCTGGAGAGAGAACAAGCCATCCTTTGACAGCCACTAACTGATAGTGTGTGCTTGGCCCTCTGCCCCATTCCTGCCCTACTGCAGCTCTATGGGTGGGCCATGGTCCAGGGGCAGCCATGTCTAAGCCTCAGCCTCATAACTGGGTATGGTATTTGTTTGATTTCCAGCCAGACTGTACTGTTAGGCAAAGGCAGAAGAGAAGGCTTGATTTCTGTATTTGGAGGCTGAATTTTGGCAGTGGTCATTAGTTAGGAGGAATAGAAGAAGACATGATGAATACAGACACCAACCCATCTTTCCCAATGGTTCCACTTCCCTCCGCCATGCCCAGGCACCAGGAGACACTCACATCACTGCTCTCACGGGGCCCTCCTTGATGGTGTAGGTCCTGATTCTGCTCACTGGTAGTCTCTGGGTTGTTAGGCTTACACAGATACTGCTCTCTGGGACTTCATTGCCCACCCCTGATTGAAAAGAACAAAATGAATAAAACTGTAAGTCAACAATCACTTGGTAGGAGCATACGGCCACTACTGCTTTGGGGAAGAGATGGTTCTTATTGGCATCCTTAGTCTCACGTATAGTCTTAATAAATATTTAACTAATTTTAAAAACATCAAATCAAACTTATAAATTGAGGCCCCTGATCACGGTGAAACAAAAATACCAATGCATTTTCTGTGCTTGTATTGGCAAGACCCCTGTGATGAGGAGCCCGTACCCCAGTGACATTCATTCATTTCTACAGCAGCAACTTATCCCTGGATACCTTGGAAGGTATTTTTAAAAGCAAATAACCAAGCAGGAGTTGTGCCTGTTGTGACCTTAGTGCTGAAGGACAGACACAGACCCTGCTTTCCTGAGGCACTTCTTCTAGTGAGAAGCAGGGCAACAAACAAGCAAAGAGAGGATACAATCTTAAATAATGCAAGTGCCACCAGGCTACAATAAGTAAGACAATGTGAAGGAAAGTAATTTGGGCAGGAAACAGGTTCTGGGATTTATAAAGCTCCTTCAAGGGGAAAACCTGAGACCTGGACACCAGGGCCAGCAGTTCTCAGACAGCTTGCAAAGCACCATGTGTCACCCCTGCCCTGATCCGTGTCTCCACCAGGTGGTACAGCTGTCATCTTAGCAAAGAACCAGTCATATAGCAACATGTGTCCTAATTTAGTCACCTTAAACTTTATGGTTTCATCAGTATTTTTTATTTTGTCCAATTACAAGGCGTTCCAGATCACTACCTTCATATACTGAGCCTCTCGGGGTTCCATGCTCAAGTCATGGTATGGGTGTCTAAACACACACACGAACTCCAGCCAGCAGGGAAGAAATATCTCCTGAATGCTTATAATCCATAAGGTTCAGGACAGCCAGATCTAACCTGGGTGTGTCGTGCAGATTCATTCAACTGTGTAAGATGCTGTTCTATCTGTAGCAGTTATTATTATATGATCTTTTATAAATTCAAGACATTGATCATAAACTGTAACATTCATAGCAGTAATACTACCCTCCCTCACTTTCTTGAAAATGCCATTGATTTTCTGAATATGAAACTATGAGCTTCCAGTCATTTTTAATTTGATTTAAGTAGAAAACATTGATTTGCTTCAGGATATACATTCTACCACTCATTCCCATATTGTGGGACTTTCAGAGATTTTGAGAAAGTAACACAATATTAGATGGCAAAAAACTGCAAACGTATTTATTATCATTGCCATCACCCCTTAGTTAGCACTAATGTTTAAAACTTACTATTTGTAAGATTTGATGTGATTAAATAACACATAAATGATTTCATCACAAAATTTATTTCATTTTTAATCCTGTCAGAGTACTTTAACATTGATTTTATAGATCAGTGAGCGTAGGCTCAGAATGGTTAGGAAATTTACCCCAAATCACCCGATCAGGAAGACTGGGAACCAAATACTAACCCAGTTCTCTGTCTCAGGACTCTACCAGGTGCCTGAGAGTTAAATTCCACTCCCAGTTTGCATATGGGAAGGCTGAGGTGCAGCATAGGGCTGCAGTTTCCTGCAGTCAAAACTCAGTCATGCTCAAGCCCATACTACACACGAGTGCCCACCTGCCTTGCCTCCCCGCTCCTCATCTCCGAAGCAGCTTCTGGACTTACCTGCTACAATGCATGCGGTGAGGCAGCAGGCGCCCAGGATGGCCAGGAAGAGAAGTCTCATGGCTGGGGTCTTGCTGAGTGCTGCAGGAGAGAGTGATTAGAGGTCTCCTCACCAGGCTCTTTTATTCCTGCAGTGGTCAGTGCACTTCCTGTAGAGAAAGGGGCTTTCAGGGTGCGTGTGGAAAGGTGGAAAGTCTTTGCAACACTGACGCTTTTTTCTTTGCCCTGTTCACACTAACCTCACTCTTTGTGGCCTTTCCCTCCCCCGTGGTAAATGTGTCAATGAAACCAAATTACACCTAAAGAAAACGTGATCATCTCATCTCCAGCTACTAGAGTCAGACCTTCCATGGCAAATACGTCCCACAGCCCTGTCAGTGCCATGGCCCAGCATGGGACAGTGTAAAGGACATGAGGGGAAGTGGCCACTGAGGTCCATCCCAGGGGACCTCAGTGGTCCAGCCCCAGCCTCCCTGTCTCTACACCGCAGAATGGGAAAAGGACTCTGGGGACACACTGGACAACTCATTTTAAAACAGAAAAGATGGTCTGTAATCTTGTCATCTGAAAGCTCTCGTTTGTAGTGCTGTGATCATTAAAATGGAAAATAAGACAATAACGTGACCCTGTTTTCTTTCCATTCAAGTAGCTGAAATTAATAATGCTGATAACAGTATTGTGATAGAAACACATGGAGAAACATACATTACTCATTGTATTAGTAATTGATATAGTACTTTAAAGAGAAAATTGACATTGTCACATAAGGCTGGATATTTGCATACCATTAACACATTTGTATATCAGAAGTTGTGCCTCTAAATGTAATCTTAGATAATTACAAAGGAAAGGAGCATATAAATGTATGCAGTATGATTGATATACACAATGCATATTTGAATTTTTCAAATTGTATTATTATGAAAGACATACTACTATTATTTTTCCTCAAAGTAAGTCTGCTTGTTTCTAACAAACTTGTGCTATCATTCTTGTCACCTTCCAAAGCAGTTCTGAAAGTCCTCTTTTCTGTCCTAAATTATGCTGTTCTTAACTGTCTTACTGAAACAATTCAAAACCTACACCTTTCATGATCATTTTGACTTTGGAGAAGGCACACAATTTTTTTTTATTTTTATTTTTTGTTTAATACAGGGCCTCCAGAGTCTCACTGCACAGATCAGTTTCATAGTGATCCGATTTTCAGCCTCCCAAGCTCTGGGATTACAGGTGGGTGCCATCACACCCAGTCTCAGTCGCTATCTCAGTGTGCCCAGGGGACAGAGCCAGCACAACACTCCGGGGATTGAACCACGGTCCCTGCATCTGCCTAAGCAGGCACTTTAGTCCGCTGGGCTACCTGGCTGGCCCAAGACCCACAATTCTGATGAAGACAAATCTGGTGAACAGGTGGTTGAGGAAACACATATGTTTAGCACCCAAATAGGATCTATATTTTTTATCTTCCAAAAGCACAGAATCACCTACTTTCCCAAATCTTTACCAACACATAAGTCAATAAGAAATGAATACATAAAACCAATATGTGAAAACCAATAAGACAGAATAACTGTGCATACACCAACTAGGATAAAAAAGATACTTACCATAAAAAGAATTCAAATGTTCTATGTAAATGTACCAACTCCCCAAAATAAATAAAAACATTATGTACCTCAAACATGTACTAATAAATTTTTGAAAATTTAATTAATGACTTGAACCTTTCTACTTTTTCTTCTGCCTTGTTAATGACACTTTTTAAGGACAATTTTTTCTCAAAAAAGGAAAAGATATATAGACAAAAGTAAAAAAAATTGACTTTTGTTGCAATGGATTTTAACTGATAGTCAAATCTGCAAAATTATATTCAGTGATTTCAGTCACTATGTTTATTTAAATTAGTGAATTTTAATAAAATATGCCAGACAGATATTATCTACAAGCTAATGTCAACAACATAGCCCAATAATCAACATACTTTACCTGCTCACATTTTTGCCAATAAAGTTTTACTAGAACCCAACAAGGCCATTTGCCTATGCATCAGCTATGGCTGCTTGTACAACATCAAAGCTATTAGTTGCAGGGCTTTTAGAGCCTGAAATATTTTCCACCTGCTTCTTACAGAAAACAAATTTCTGACTCCTGGTTCACACCTTGGTTTGTATTTATTAAAATCCAATATGTTCAATAGGAAAACAGTTATGCAAAATATGCAGAGAAAAGAAAAGGACTCAAACAAATACATGAAAATATTTACAACTAAGAAGTCCTTTAGGAAGGAACCAGAGTCATGGTGCTGCTTAAGGAGGGGCTGATAAGTGCAGTCAAAGCTAGTTTCTCACATCAAGCACCAGCTGTTCTAGTGACTTATTTCTTATGAGTAAAAGTACAGCATATTAATCTGAAGGCATGTTTTTATCAGTTACCATTGCTTCTTGATAAAAGGCGCACAACCACCAAGACAGAACTCAAAGGAATTTCTGAAAGGGTCCATATTTATCAAAACTTTGAAAACGTCTGCTCTGCACTTAATAGATATGGATTATTCAGGGCTAAAATCACACAGGCTCAAGAGAATGGTAGAAATGCTATGTGTTGACCACTACAGGGATGCTGTTTAAAAACCATTTTGGCTACATCACTCATGATCAGTGAGAATCTGCACAGAACAAGTCAGAGTCAAAACTATGTCCTCTCCACGGAAGGTGAGGTTGAAGAAAGGCACCCTCTCTTGGGGCGTGAATCCAACCTCTTAGTCAAGACATCGACATGTAAGGAGAGTAATATTTTTCCAATTTCTCTTTTTGCCACAAAGCCTACCATAAAATTGAAGTGGTCTATGATGCATGACTCAAAACAGTTATGGATTTCTTCAGGCCATATACCCAAGAAAGGTGCATAAGTCAGCACCCAACACTGACATTAATGGCCAAGAGCCATGCAAGGAGCCTGTTTGGATAAGCCATGAGCGGCACTGGGACCCATGAGCTGTGGCACCAGATCAGCAGACCCTCTCCTGGCTCAGACTCTAAGGATGCATTGCATGAGGGAGAATCACAGTCATCCCTGCCTCACAGACCTCTGAGTTAGAGGCAGAACATATGGCACATCTCTGTCACAGGAGGAACTCTTGAATGGCAGTGATTGTAATCAAATGACAGACACTGCAACCATCAGACCTAAACTGTCAGTGAAGTTGAGGATAAAGGGGCAACCCATAGTTTTCCTCAGAAGATAGGATGACTTTTTATGAATACTGTTTTGGGAGCCAGCCAAGCCCATGACTCTCTGCTTCCCCTTCCTAGCTTCCTGTGCATACCTGAAGCATCAGGAGGATGAGGCTAGTGAGTCACAGGACACCGTTGACCTCTACCTGGAGACACGCCCATCTTCCCAGGGAAATGACCAGTCACAAAGACACAGCATCCTGACCACAGAGTAATGAAGACACAAAATGTTATGGACTACTCACTTTTCAGATGGGCTAAAATGACTTTTAAAAGTTTTAATGTTCATAGAAATATTTTCAATATGTTTTTCTAGTAAACAGAATGGAAAAAATGTAAATCTTTGATGGCAGATGCTTTCTTATTTTAGAGCCAATCATAGTATATAGACCCCTGGATTCTTCGAGTGTATGTATTAATTCCAAGAGTGCATGACCATTTGAAAGAGATCCCAAAGTTGATTGTGTAGTCAAATTAATCAAATACTGCTTTCTGAGAAGCCTGGCCTCTGCATATCAAACATCTCAGGCATAGTATGGAAACATTCTCTCAGGCTTTCACAGAGAACACGCTGCCCAAGCAATGACCATGACTCATCCACATGGGTGACACTGACAAAGGTTCTACAATCTGAGGTACAGGATCTCAGCATAAATCCTGAGGGGATTTCACTGACCTTATCACACCCAAAAGCTACAACTCTTGTTGCATAGGTCCTGCTTTACCTTGGTCTTAACCATCCAGCAGAAAAGTATAAAAACGATATATAAGAAGTAAAGCCATGCTGTTATGTTGAGCTGTAGGGGACTCAGGTCAACAATTTCTGACACTGCTAGTCAAGTGGAAGACCCAATACTATTATGGGCTACTGGACTCTATTAGAATATTTTGCTGAGTTTACACACCTATAATATTCAAATAACGGAACCTAACAAAAAAAGGATATACAGATGAATGTCCATTTTGTATCTGTGTATTCAAAGTGGTTAGGATAGATATATAGTTATTAGGATATCATGTCTGCATCTTGTACAGCAATTAACCACTAGGAAGAATGTATGCAATGTGTTAATTATTGAAACTGTCCTACCAATTTGACTTGAAACTGTCTCATTGCTATTTATCAATAAAATTATGGGAAAAAAAGAAAAAAAGAATAAAAAGAAGCCTGGCCTCATTGTTGTCTACAAAACAACAGCCCCTCTTCACTTCTAGAGTTCCTAGTCTCTGTACTGCATCCTCAGCATCTGTAATGCAGGAGCTCAGTATGTGTTTGTTGACTGAACGAAAATGAACCACTTCCATGTCTTTTTATTTTTCTGACAACTAAAAGCAGAAGCATAGTTCAAAACATTGTTCAGTATGACTTGATGATGACCCTTTATACAAACATTATCCTAATATGGAAGAGACTATAAGATGGGAAAGACCAAAAGACACAGGAGCTACAGTAGACATCAAAAATGCATCAGTCAATTTGCCATCTTCTAATGAAAGAAAATAGTCACAGGCAACACCATGAAGGAAAAGCCTGCTCTGCTGCATCCCTCGAAGGGCACAGGGACGGGCAGAAGGAAGCACTACCAGCACAAATACAGTATAAGAGGAAGATGCAGGGAATGCGTTTTGCTTTTTTAGCCATGTAAGGCACAGCCTGTTCTGGAAAGGGGAAAAGTCAAAGATCCTGTGGAGGCCCTGGGCCTGCAGAGGAGACATTAATCCTCTTTGAGCTCCTTTACCACTGATTCTCCCCGTTCTGCAAGACCAGGAGAGGCCTTTGAGGAAAACCACAGATAGCATGCTCAGTGACTGGGAGGCAACGGGGATCCAACCCTTCTGC